TTACTCCGATAACTTGAATTCTGGTTCGGATGCTACTTTATTAGCTCTTCTTGTTGTGTAATCGGTAAATGTACCATTAAAACTAACACTACTGCTGCAATTTGATTGGCACGATTGATTTGATTGGTGCAACGAAACATCACGTTTTATCATAAAAATCATAATCATGTTACCGTTTCTGGAGAAATAAGTTAAATTTGCACTGTGTTATACACTGAAGTCCTGAAAAATCAGTAACTATTATTTATTAAGATGGCATAATTGACATTCATTCGAACCCGATAATTCGAATTCCCAGTGCCAACTCGAACTGTTTTCCCTTCAGATTTCGAGCCAGTCCCAGGGTTTTACTGTACTAACAATACGGCTTAATTTCGGCCGCTTTCTCGGTCCTACCCGAGAAGAGAACTGTACAACTGTCACTTGTCCAAAAACCCTTCAAACCGTATCAGCCCCAGAAAACAAACCAATGCAATGTGAAAACGATAGCCAAGGCCCCCTTTTCTCTTCCCAGAGCTTGGGACCGACTGCCCTATCTTCATATAGTTTATCAGTCTTTTAAACATTTACTAACCATTTCAGATGTAAACGAATGTGCAAGCAATAATGGAGGGTGCGAACAAGACTGTGTTAACTTACCAGGGAAGAAAAACATCTGCCTTTGCCGCAGAGGTTTCACAAAGCCTCATCCTGATAGCACCAACTGCAAGAGTAGGTGAATTGCTACAATCAGGGACAAAAGTAATTGACACACTTGTTTAAAAACGGGTGCTTTTCACAAACATTTAATTCATTTATTGTTTCATTCTTTTTAAACGCCGTAAATCCCCTCAGCCCCCGAATCACTGTTTTCTGAAGTAAAAAAAGGACTTGAGGGTTCAAAATTCAACATTGATCTGGCGGGGGAAGGGGTTGGGGTAGACAGGGGAAGGGGATAAGTATATCCACTATGCAAAAAGGGGCCATTTTACGGAAGTGTCTCAACACTTTTGTCCCTCATTGTAGATATAATTTATCGTAAAATGTTTGGAAACAGTAGAACACCGACAGTTCTATTTTCAGTGGCGATAACTGCTGTTCATTTTTGGCATGACTTGTTGACAGAGATGAAACCAAAAGAATTCTAAATGAAAAAGCAAATCAAATTCACTAAATAAAGCAGAAATGCAAATACACAAAATTTAATTCACTTTAATATTTCATTCGTTTTAATTCAATTTAATTCAACTCAAAGCTCAAGCTAAAGATATGTCGAAATATATAAAAACAAATAAATTCATGTTCAAATTCGTCCTTAAGAGGCAGTCTCAGTAAAAACCGCCCACTCAATTTCGCGTGAAACTCTGGTGGATGAAAGCCTTTATTGGGACTATAACTGAAATAGGTTTGCTTTGATTCAAAGTTATTTTCTGGCCGCGCTAAGAAGCACGAAGTTTTTTTGCCATATTGCGGGGCCCCAAAATTGAAAATTTGGCATTTTTGGAGTGCTGTAAAATTTTTTATTCGCAACATCTCGAAATAAATTTAACACCTGACAAATGACAAATGACAAATGTCTTCAGTTTTTCTAGATATTAAATATTTCTCCGTAAACGTACCCAGCAAGGTGAAATCAACTAAAATATGACCCCTTTAAAATACAATCTAACAGACGGCCAAAAATGGCCTTAGTTTAGAAGCATATTTCTACTTTTTGGGACAGAGTTAATTATTCTAGACTATAGAGCCGAAAAGATTGTTCCTTAATTGACAAGAATTTACAAGAACCCGTGTACGATTTCAGTATTTCAAAAGTTATGACCGTTTGAATTAACGAACATGTCAACATTGAGCGATTTGTCGTCCATTAATACTGTGTGAAATAATGAATCCATCTCAAGAAAATGTTGTGAAAAGGACGGCTTACCTACAAACTGAGCCATATTCTGATCCGTAGGAATCTTGATTTCATCAGAATCCGGCTAAAACTGCCTTGAAAATAGCTGTCGTTCGCCTAAAGTAGAATTCCTTGCAGATTCTAAAACGTCTCCAATACTAAAACAGGCGCAAATCCGTGGTCACGTTTAACGTTTCTCGGTAATTAGCCAGTAAAACATACGTTGATAGCTAGTTTGCTTGAGGATCAGAGAAGAAAAAAATCGATTCGTTTGTGGAAACGTAAATAAGGATTCGATTGCTTCAAATTCAGATAACAGTTCCATGGAACTCTCTCTATAACAAAAAGGTCACGTCGTGTTTTGACCGAAATAGGATTCCTAGCGGAAATATGGAATCCTGAAACTAGGAAAACAAGGCATGGAATTCACCACTCAGAATAGTGCATTTATCAACGGAATTTAATCTCGCGAAAGGCGTGCTCACAAAAATATTGTTTTAACAACTGATACTGTAAATAAACCCATAACGTATAAAAGAACGACGTTTTTAAGTGTTACAAGGAATGATAAGTTAAAGAAGTTGGTTGTTAGGAGTTATTAAAAATACAGTAAATCACGTGTTCACTTGGGTGCTGTTTTTCACTCATTTGTAACGACTATCGCGTGCCAAGCTTCCTCAACTCACAAAACATTATATTTTACAATTTTGCCGTTGACTATTGCAGAATACCTTAAAAATGGATAGCCTCAGAAAACAGCCGACATTTTGCGACGCCACCACTGGTTTCCCATTTCGCACGGTAACCAGTGGCGGCGTCGCGATATGTGAATCGTGTGGTTTTATGCTGACTAGTGTTTTTAAGCAAAATGTACATTAGAAAAGAGAGGATGTGTCTGTCAAGACAATGTCAACCTCAGCCTAACGTTCACTCAAAGGCTTGGACACAAAGTCCTCAACTGTAAATGGCCTATTGTAACTACTTCTACGACTGAATATATATTTATGTGTAATCAAATGGTGACGAGTGAAATTAGGGAATAATTTCACGCGCGTTTTGTCCAAATCCTTATAATTTCCCGAGCCTTTAGGCGAGGGAAATTATTAGGATTTGGACAAAACCCAAGTGAAATTATTCCCTAATTTCACGAGTATACCATTTGATTACCTATTAATATCATAGGTGACGAATTACGTTAGCAATCTTGGATTTTGACATGTTTATCCTGGATCGTATCGATCGAGAACTTCTGCACTCTCTCGAACGTTTAGAGCTTAAATTTGGCTTAAGTTCAGAGTTTTTCAACAAAATTCCTGTTAGAATCCTTTTTGATGTGCTCTTTCGTGTGTTCAGGTTTTCTAAAGCGTCTTTTTTGCCCTGACATCTTCATTCATGACATTTTAAAACTTCGTCGCCATCTTGACACTGAGACGTACGGAAGGTTGCCATTGCAATTTTGTAATTTCACATGTGAAATTACAAATAAACGCTGAAATTTCGCGCCAAAATTAAGGAGTAATTCGCCACCTATGATATTAAAATTGTAACGAACTTCTACAACTGAAGATGGAATAAGTTTCCAAAACATGTCTTGTAAATTGAAAATTGTTGAGTCATTTCTTCAGATAATAATTTTATATAATTTTTTATATAACATTAATGTTTATTATTTCACTTTTTCCCATTTCAAAAAAGTAAAGAGCAGGGAAATAGGGTATGACAACTTGCCGTACAAACTTGTTTGAACGGACGGGCAGGGTTGAACGGCGGCCGGAAATAACGTCACCATGTGTAAAAATATTACTTTTGCTAAGTTCCTTGTAATTTGACTTACGTAACCCTGTTTACGATAGCACAAAACAACAGGTAGGAATTTAAGGAAACGCTTTACATTGCTTTAGTGAGACACACTCGCATTCACTTATCATGACTGTCAGCTTGTCTAAGAGGAATTTCTTTTTGTCTCTCGATTTCACAGGAATCTCAAAATGGTTGCAGATACTCCTAAGCATGGCTACATTGAATTCTTGGAGCGTGTTGCTATGATACCGCTCACACAGGTCATAACTGTCAAAGCAGATAGGATGGGCGACGTTAATTTCTTCATTTACTGTGTTAATCAGATCCTCTCTTTCTGAAAATTCCTGTAAGCACTGTATGTCTTCTTCCTTTTCCGTTGACAAGCCGACAACACCCTGCTCTTTACGACGTGCTGCTGCCATCCGCGAAAAAAAGCTCTGAACTTGGTTCTTTGAAAGCCACTCAGATCTAGTAAACAAGCGTTCATTAGACTAATTTTTGCATTTCGTATGTCTGCTGCAACCTTGCCGGGGTCAGCCTTACGCCCTGTTCTTTCTCCTATTGTGAAACGTGCTGTTAAGTATTCTTTGACCTTTGGCGAAAATCTAACGCTACTTCTCGGTTTGCTTAAGGCCCAACCTGTTTGCAGAGATGATTTGCTTGAAGTGACTTCTGAAAACGTTGGCGGTTCCCCGGAGGGCACCGAATACATTTCGGTGTCAGCAGGGTTATCTACAGATGAGAATTTCAGTGCCCAGTCCCTTCTGATAACATCATACTGGCTTAGCCTGCTGGCAGTATGTTACATCAAGATGCAGCTCTAACTGCGCAAAGGATTCAAAGGCCTCGTTGCAACCGAGCATTGAACATTCAAACTGTGGTGTACTACTCTCAGTACTCTTGCTAGCTTCTGAACTGGGTTTTACCTCTCGAATTTCCAAGTGGTACATAGAATTCTTGGGATTCCACTGTTTGGAGAGCGGTTGGAACCTGATTGGTGATATAACGCATTTCATATGGAATGTACTTTCCATCGCCTATACCATAGCATTTCCACACTCTAAGACCATCAGCTTTATATTCAAAGTTATGAAACCTGCTGAACTGCTCCATCTTCTTTACAGAAAGAGTCTTTCTCGACTCGTTGACTACACAAACCGCGGCAGATGTTCTTTTTACCGGGTGTTGTATTAAGGCATCTCTCATGTCTGCAGCAGTTAAAACATCATGACCTTCGTTGCAGTACATACGGATGGAGGACTTCAATGGACACAGGATACGATCACAAATATCCTTTCTAGACTGTGGCTCTGAGTAATGATAACTATGTACTGTAACACCAACTCCTCTTTACGATATCTCTTACAGCAGAAATCAAGGAGCTGTTACGATAACAACCAGCCTTATCTGACTTTTAATATGCTCTTTGGATGAGAGGATTCCTGGCTTTTATTTTTGTCAGAGGGACTTCTAGAATTGAAGCTACTGAGAACCAATCCTGTGTACACTGATCAAATAGGTGCGCGTGAGAGATAACCTCAGTTACGCCGGACATGTCTTTGGTCACGACACTAGTGATGTGCCAGCTGAGCCCTCTCTTGCCATACCAATCAGTTTGTTTTTCTCTGTAACGAAGCTGCAAGAACTTCATAGCCCAATCCATTACTAGAAGGCACGAATCCTGATCAAGCTCTGCCAGTATATCTTGTTTCGCACATTCCTGGTTTACAGCTCTCATAATGTGGGCTTTCCACTGTACAATAGCATCTGAAGCTTTCTCGATGTCGTACAAGAAGTCTTCTTTCTGTTCTTTGCTGTAAAAGCGTAAGCTTTCACTGTCATTGACGGTTTGTTGCAATTTATGCAAACAGGAAGTGATGTCATCACATTGAGGGCAGCTAAGAGTATGTTCATGTGTACATTTCTCTTGAAAATTTGGATCATTCGGGTCACTTAGACCCAACTTACGGCAATGATCTGGACATGAGCTCTCATTATCTTTGCAATTCTTCTGATATTCTGTTTTCAAATACTTCTTACCGTCCCGAAGAGATCTACTTATATCATCTGCCAAGCTCTTCTCTAGGCCAATATGACCAAGCTCCTCTACTATTCGTTGTAGGCGCTCGAACGCCGCTGACCCATCGGCAGCTGTGTTGTCTAAACCACTCAAGGATTTCTGTTGTGAGGCCTCCCGTACTTCGAGAACACGAAATAGACTCGCGCGACTTAGGGGCTCGTATTGTTCTTCTTCACAGAACTTTAGATATTGCCTGATCATTGTTGCTCTTGTTACTTTACGTATGATGTTTGGCATTGTGAGTTTCTCGCCGCTTTTAAGTTTCAGTTTCCTTGTACCAAATGCAACATCTTGATAAAAGTATGGCCGGTTAACAAAGTCTAAGAAATGGTCAAGTTTCGCTGGGAGAAGTCGAACCCTATGAGAAGGCGGCTTTTCTACTAAGGAGCCTGGACTGCATTCCCTTGCGTGAGCTCTAGCGCGTTTGATTTGCCAAGATGTTAGCTTCGCAAATGGTTCGTGGATCCTCTGAAGCGTCCTCGCTGGATATCTATAAGCATAAAGGCTCAGAATTTGAGTCTTCACGTTTCTTGTCTTAGCAGCGTTGTAGGCTTGCATCAGTGGTACAAGATCCTCATAGTCTGCCTTTGTATCAGGAATACAACAGGACTGAAGTAGCTCCTGTGCAGCCTTTGGCGCTATAATCTCACACACGAGGCTACAGGCTTCAGTAGCCTTATCGATGCACACTTCTTTCTCGTGCTCTTTTGCCTCATCCCACGTCGTTTTTAACTGAAACGTTAAGGGACTGACCTGTCTAGTAGTAGAAACCTCATTAAGCTTCCCCATGGCGGCATTGAATTCTGATATGGCGGACTCTGCCACGCTTTCAGCAACATCCTCCTCCCCAGAGCTACAGTCCGAAGGCCTCCACCCCGTCGTCCACTCAGCTGCTTTTGCTGCCGGTGTCACCGAAGGCGTAGAAGATACCGCAGCTGAGATCTTCAGAGATGCGATACATTTTACTAGTCTGTACAATTAAGGAAATAAAAATTAACACATACCGGATTCAAGTTTTCCTTTTACCTGATTATTATCCTCATTGTCGTTGAGACGTTAAATAAAAAAGTTCATAAAATAAAACAAAGAGGACTTGTAGTAAGCTGCGCACATAAAACCTGTCCCTATTAAATAAAAATGAAGTGATACGAAACCTTTTTAATACAACACACTGAACAATATTTCTGTATCTAGAAAGAAATGTGTTTAATTTGGAGTCATTTACGTTGAAATTCATCAATAGTTACGTAATTTATAGCTACGTACAGATACTGATATTTTGCGACGGAAATTATGCACCTTGAAGGGTTATCATCCTGTTCGTTGGTGTCTTCGCCTCCTTTCTGTTTCAATAGAGCATTATTTTCTTCAAGCTTGACTTTGTGTGAGTTAAAGCAAGATATACAGATCACTGAAAATAAAAGTAGCGAAATAATGAGATAAATCGCGAGAAAGAAATGACTGAATCAAAACAAACAAACAGACACAGAGAGAACAGGAATTGTGCATCAGGCCCCGGCGCGCTCTTTTCATACCGCACCTCGAAACCGGAGAGCTCTTTAAAACAAGTGAAGGAGACACAGAACGGTTCAAACGAGCGAAATTTACAGCACTAGAAATTTCTGGTGTTATCAACATGCGTCTATTACAAACCTTTCTAGCAGCCTTAACTGCTGACAAACTACCTTATTTTTCTATTACATTATTTAGTCAAATAATGATCATTATTTCATCTTTATCTTTTCCGGGTATATTTCATCGAGCCAGTTTAATTCCTTCCAGTTGACTTGCTAGCTCACTTAGAACGCTTCTCCAGTATCGCAAAGATCAGGGTTCGAATCCCCTGCAAGCCTGAACTTTTTCAGGCCTTTTTTTCACAACTGTACTTGAAAAGGAAAATTAAAAAACAAAACAACCGATACTACTACAGTTTATAATTTCGACGGGAAGATCGAGGAAACGTACTGAACATATTGGACAAATTGAAATTGAGTGAATTTCGTAGAGACAGAAAGGCTTTTACTTGAAGACGAACTACAATTGTTCTAGAAAGCCTCGAATTCCCAATAAATAAATATCACAAACCCGGTCAACAGAGACGTAATTAGATTATATATTTGCACGCAACGTTTCTTGCGCCTTCCCTTAGATAGATTTCTGCCAAAATGCACAGGAGCTTTAAACAAAAGGTAACATGGGCAAAATATAGATTATACTCACGGGATCCTATTGGAACGTTATTTCCAAAGATTAGAATAATTTCGCGTGACATACTTGCGTGTACAGCATTTCTCGTTCTAAGCTTTTTCTTTGGGCCTGGACGATACAGTGGGTACTGGCAGGTTCGAATTCAATGAAAGCGAGGTATGTAATTGAAATTTGACGATCGAGGTCGCCAGTATTTCCCCATGTCGTTTCTGTGTTTTTCACATATCCAGAGCCGCTCAAGTTGATCGAACGAAAGGTCGTGTGCTAGACCTGATCTGTTGAGGATCACGTCATATTCGAGGAGTTGCTCCTGAAAATGACTGTGGACGTTCAACTTTCGCAGTGAATCGTCGATACTGCTCTTGCAGTCTGAAAGTTTTATTAACTTGCCGCCGGACTCGGCACAAACAGATTCACCTCTAGCCTCGAATAAGCACTTACGGAGTTCCATTCCATAAAAAAATAGGGTGTTAAAGATTAAAACTACAAAAAGACTTTCCATGCGTTAACTATCCTTACTCGGCTCCTTTTCTGGGCTTTGTCTTGTCCATGATTTGACTGGCTAGCGGTATCATGCATAAAATGGAAGAGGATCTGATCAGCAGCGAATTTTAGAGGTCATCAATTTTCGATTCTTTTGTCCGTCTACCCTGTTTACTATTTTCACCATTTTATCTGGTCATAAATTTATTCAGGTAATTTCCTTTTGCTCGGTATCTTAGATGAAGAGGACCCAAGGAAACATAGCTGGTTTGCTTATTCCAGGTTTCTTAATTTCTCCGTTTCCGGTTTCTAGCTAAAGTTGGGTGACTAGGCGTGACATCCCAAGGTTTTACCGGGCTTTGAAGCGAACAAATTTTTATTTTCTCTCCGAAAACGTGGCTGAAAAGTCGATATATTCTGTTTCTCGAGCAAATTGCTCTGAATGGTTGTCTCATCAAGGTATTTTAATACAATACACGCGAAACATGAGCCGTATGATCGTGACATTTCGATCGGAGACATTTTGGATTCAACTCCACCAGCAATTTTCAAGGCTAAAGTATACTTGATTTTTATGGAATCATGCTTCTCGGAAGTCAGGATTTTATTTCATTTGCTTAAACGTTCCAGCCTCGCATAAGGTAAGCCTAATTTAGACAAAATCTAGTCGAGATAAGTAGTGATGATTTATTACGCTTTAAAGGAAAAAATGGCAAAACCTCGAATGTGCGCATATAAAAACGACCATAACTTTTGAAATACTAAAATCGTACACAGGTTCTTGTGAATTCTTGTCAATTAAGGATCAATCTTTCCGGCTCTATAGTCTAGCTAGAATAACCAGCTCTGTCCCAAAAAGTAGAAATATGCTTCTAAACTAAGGCCATTTTTGGCCGTCTGTTTGATAGTATTTTATAGGGGTCATATTTTGGTTGATTTCATCTTTCTGGGTACGGTTACGGAGAAATACTTAATATCTAGAAAAACTGAAGACATTAATCAGTAAATAGGTGTCAAATTTAAAAAATTTTACAGCGCTCCCAAAAAATACCAAATTTTCAATTTTTGGGCCCCGCAATATGGCCATGGCGGGCAAAAAAACTTCGTGCTTCTTAGCGCGGCCAGAAAATAACTTTGAATCAAAGCAAACCTATTTTTGTTATAGTCTCGATAAAGGCTTTCATCCACCAGAGTTTCAGGCAAAATTATTTTTCACGCGAAATTGAGTGGGCAGTTTTTACTGAGACTGCCTCTTAATAGGTCGCACGCGACCTGAAACAGGCAGTCAAATACAAAAAAGGACTACGATCGTAGAAAAAGGTAGTCTATAGAGGGCAAATTTTAGGAAAAGCCGGTGGTGGCCGCGTCTGCGCATCGGGGCATTATGGCCAAAAAATTGTGAAATAAACTAAATAAAGAAATGAAACATTTCCAAATAATAGCAATATCAGTATTAGGTCACGGTTCCGTTTCTCCAGATCATGGCTCGAATCATGTTGAAACTGCTCAGCTTCGCATCTGACGCCTTTTTAAAGGAGTTAACTGGTATCCGAAGTGTTATACATTGCTTCTCCATTTTCCCATACAGTGCTATTGCAAATACCCTGCGGAAGTCGTGCCATACAGGAATCCTTCACCAGGGTTGTGCCTAAGGGACTGGTCATTATTTATCGTCTTGGGGGGGGGGGGGGGGGGGGGGGG